GAGCTGAGCTTGAGGACGACATCAAATGTGGCAGAAACCGATGAGGCTCAAGCTCTGCAGCTCCAGCTCCGGGCTGGGCTGGGCAGTTGACGATGGCCTCTTGCAGGTTTTCTCCTGAGCCCCCTGTGGCAGCGTTGAGGGTGGCGACATCGACCCTGCCTGCTTCTTGGTCTCGGATGGCTTATAGGGCGACCACTCATGTCGACATGGGACGGTGGGTGTGACGGGGGGGAGAATCAGTGGACGTCGGGTCGAAGCCGATATGTGACGCCAGGCCCGCCCGGACACCACCAGCAGGTCCATGCACACCCTCTGTCATGCTTATTTGCTGCCTCCCTCCCTTACCCAGGACTGTGGAATCGGGAAAAGGTGGTGGGTGGATATGCCAAAGTACAAAGTATGCCTTGCCGGTGTGGGGGAGGTGGCCCCGGGGGCCCCTTGAGGACGGGCCTAGATGGCTTCGGGACGTGGACCGGGAGGGGTGGTGAGGGGTCGGCGCAGCCCTGCGAAGCTGATCAACACCCTCTTTTGCGTCTCTTTTGGACAAGAAGACAAGACGACGACCCGATCAGGGCAGACCTGGGCGGTCTAACGGCGCACCAGGTCGTGACAGAGGCACTGCGGTTCCTGACAGGACCGATCGGTTTCGAGGGCACACCGTCGAGAAATGGGTGAGCATGCAGCCGATATGGAAATATCGTCCTCAGCTCTGCCTCGGGCAGATGGTTGTTCGCAGCAGAGATCGCGGCAGCGCCGGCGATTGGCCGATGCCGGGCTGTGGCTTCGGGCTCCCTCCCGGAGCGTGGTGGAGTCGGGTGCTGGATTGGGGCCCTCGGGGCCCAGCGGCGCCCAGCAAAGGCCTGTGGCGTCGCTGAAAGCTCGCCAGAGTTTCCGCTTCCGGACCGTCCACCTCCAACACCCAATCCGCCCGCCTTTGACGACACCAACGACGGGGCCGAGGGGGCCAAGCCCCAGCGAGAGCCTCCCTCGAGCCTCTTTTCGGCTGCATGGGGGACTCCATCGTCATAACTCACCGTCGAGAGCCGCTGGCCAGTGGCATCGCGCGCCTTGCCTCCGCCGCCGCCGTGCTCCAGGGACAGACCCGCCAAAGCGGCATGGTCGCCGTCGCGGCGTCGAGGATGGCCTTGCAGCGGCTTGCAGTTGTGCAGGAACTGACGCCAGGGGCCATCATCTCGTCCGTCCAAACATCGTTGGAGAAGACGTCCGAAGCTTCTCGTCGATATTAGTGGGCGGGCGCCCCTCGCCTTGTAGGGAAAGAAGGTGGGCCGGGGGGTGGGATTCAACCATCGTCTGCCAGCTCGGTAGGGGCCTTCTCCTCATTGCTCTCTGCTAGCTCGCTGCTGGACATGATGGCACCCTCGTCGAGACGGCCTTCACGCCGTGTCGTTCGCTCCTCGAGTGCTACACGTCTCATCAGCCCGCATGCCGCGGAAACGGCTGATGGATGCGGTCGAGGATGGGTGTCTGTCGAGAGATGATCTGGCCAGTCCATGGCCGGCAGAGACGAGGTACTCCCTACCTCGACGGCACTCGATAGAGGGTTCATCGGCTTCGACAGTACGCAGTACGGACCTTGCGGGATACGTACCGCCCCGTCCCTCCCTCTGGGTCAAACTCTGATGCTACGTTGGTGTCCTCCTCCATCTCTTCAACATCGTCAGTCGAGATGGCGAGTCTACATAAGTCGCTGGATGTCGCCTCCTTGGGACAGTGCTACTATCACAGCAAGCCATACCACCAGCCTTTGCCTTTGCACACTGACGCCAATCTCTTCCCCATTCAGCCTCGTCGAGTTGCTGCCGCTCTCTGCCAACGCCGTCTTGGACTCTATCCTTCTTTAACTGTTGATCTCCTCTGCGCCATCCTTCTCTTTATTACAGAGATTGTTCTTCTGAACTCTTTGCCGCACAAGATACATCATCCACTCCTTCTCCCAAAGCCGACACCATGAGCGACGGACGTACGTGCCCACCGCCCCCTGACTCTCCCAACCCATGCTTCCCCTGGCCTTCCCTACCCTGCACCCCATCGGTGTTCAGCACTACATAACCCTGGCAACCCAAGTATCGGCCTCGTCTAACAGCTGCCGTGTCTCCAGTCAACGAATACCGCATGGCGCGAGTCGCCGACCTCCTCTGCGACTTCACCGAGCTCCAGTACATCATCACGAGCGTCCAAGTCGACCCCGACAACTCGGAAGACTACTACACCGAGGGCTGGGCCGCCATGCGCCAGTGCCTACTCGACGGGCAGCACATTCTCGACACGGGCGCCGACACCAGCGTGCCGGGCGCGTCCGGCGGGTCGGCCGAGCAGGAAAAGGCCGAGCTGAAGCAGTTGGTCCCCCTTTCCCGCAACACCACATTGCGAGAGTCAAACGCTGACAACACCTCCCAGGTGCTACCTCGACGCCTTTGCCCGCAGACACGAAGCCCGAAAGATCTACCTCCGCCAGACGGCCGCTCAGCGCTGGATCCAGTGGCGGGACCAGGTCCTCATGGGGGCGCAACCTCACTCGGGGGTGGCTTCGCAGCTGAGGAGTCTTGACCAGCAGCTTCGCTCGGTGCGCTCTCCCCTTGCCCGCGTGTCCCCATTGCATCAACTAACCCGGCCAGGAACTCTCGACCATCACCGATGAGTACGTCTACGCCGAGCTCTACAACTCCGATACGGGCATGGGCCGGTGGACTGCCGAGGACCCGAGCCTGCGGGCCGTCCAGCGCTGGGTCCGGTCGCGCCGGCGTTAGAGGGTGGTCTCTGCTCGTTTTTTCGACGGCAACATCGACGACGAACCATTACGAAAGGATGGACGACGAATGACAACTCGACACTGACTGAAGATATTGTCACGACTACGCTTTTAATCAACCCGGCAATACTTTCTCCCAAGAACCCCTTTTAATTCGACGGACACCCTCTTTCCTCAGGGGGACTGTCTCGCCTTCTCCTGCTCCGGCAGCACCGTTCTTCAGTTCCATCTTTGGTTCTACTTACGACAACGACGACAACCAACACGACAGCAACAAACGAAAACCACGACAATGCATACAACATACATGGCTTGACAGCGTGGCGGCTGCCTCTCCCTTCTCTTCGCCACTCCCTTTTTTTCGGTAGCTTTCTTTTCCATACACGGTCGGTCTTGTTATTACACATGCGATACCCATGGGATACACGAGGGGGTATAGAGCGGAGATGGATATTATTATGCTTGGAGATACTGTCTTTTTTTGGTTTTGGCTTGCTTATTACCCATTCGCTTGTACATCTTTTGCACCTTTTGCGAGGCCGCTAGGACTGGTTCTGGTGGTCTTTGTATACACTGTCTTTTTCACTTCACCGGGGGTAGGGGGTGGCATTTATGGGGGAGGGGGGAAATGGAAGGGGGACGGATGGGGGACGGGGATAGGGGACGAAAACAAAACGGGGCATGAGTGGTAATACGATTTGCAGACTACCACTGCCTGGCGCAGTATACCAAACTTTCTCTCTCTCACACGCACATTTATTTGACGCATGAGAAACACGCATGTATATACATCCAATATACGCCCACCTATCTACACAACCCCCAACTTCCCACAACACATCCTGCTATGATACATTCTTACTATGCACACACAGCGCAATCCCCGCCAGCGACAAGACCATCCCAACCATGGTTTCTACCCCCGTCAGCCAACACACACACACCCACCAAAAACAACGGGGAAACATACCTCGACTGATAACCTTATTCTCCACCCACCAATCCCCCACAACCGTAAACAAAAACGCCAACGTATTCACAATCGGCACCGTCAAACTCAACTCTGTCCCTCATCAGCCACCGTCCCACCCCACCTCAGAGAGAACAGAAAAAAACTCACCCGCCTTCCCAATCAGCAAGAAAAACCACACGCTCCCCGTCAGGTTCACCACCAGCGGCACCGCGTACCGCGGGTTCCGCAGCAGGTCCACGACGCCCAGCGCCGCGCCGTAGACCCGGCTCCGCCACCAGCTGTCGCGGACCCGCGCCGTCTCGAGCACCGGGTGCGGCGGGGGACGGTGGTCTTTGGCCGCCCGCCGGATGAAGGGCGTCGTGAGGCCCCAGGCGATGCCGACCATCAGGAAGCCGACGACGTAGTTGAGCGCGCCGGGGGCGGGCTCGGACGGGGTGGACATGGTGGCCTTTTGGGGGGTGGTGTATGTTGGGGGTGTTGGTAGTGAGTGGTGGTTATTTCGGGCAATGCTGGACAAAGTACGACAACGACCACCACTTCGCTCTGCTGTCCGCTTCAATGTCCCACGTCAAGTCAAGTCTGCCGGATAGATCCGTTGAGCGGCGGCCGCAAGAGACACACAGTCCGTCGTCCTCTCGGGAAGGGCGATCGATGCGCGCGCGCGCGGGGAGGCAGTGAGATTTGTTGCGAAAAAGGGGCTGGGATCTGAGATGCATGCGGTGGCACAACGTCGTGACTCGTCTCCTGCCTCAGCCCTATGGAGGCTCGGAGGGTGCGTGGTGGTGGTGGTGGCTGGAGTGGTGGTGCGCGTCGTCGCATCGTCGCGGGATTGGCGATGGACGGGGGGGCTTGGCAGGGCTTATCGATAGAAGCGGCGGAGAAGCCGTGGTGGGGGCTTGGCGGATGACGTAGCGTTTCGAGGTCGCCGTCAACAGTCGTGACATTGAGGTTCCCTCTGCATTTGATGGGGTTTGGTAAACATTGGGGTGTGGGAGCTGTCAAGTACTGGGATTGATAGCATCGATGGCCGACTCTGCAACTTGGTCGTCGTTGAACTCCCCATTCCAAGAAGATGGACAAGATTGTCAAAAAATATATTGGAAGAGATGCCATTCCCCTTGACGTGTGTAAATTGTCGACTGGAAACGGTGGAGTGGTTGGTGTTCTTTAACCCCTGCTGCAATATGTCTGTCTTTCTGGTCTTGGCCCCCCCTCGGACTGCCAGGATGGTGGACAGGACTGGCAAAAAGATAGTGATAGGAGAGATGGGATTCGAACCCATGACCTTAGGAACCGGCATTGGAGACATTTAGGTTGTAAATGCAAGTTCGCTGCGCTCTTACCCCTGAGCTACTCCCCCAGAGACATTGTTGGAATGTATGCACGGAGCTTCTGCATATGTCCTGTCAGGGTGGCCATGACGGGAGAGCCAAAAAGATAGTTGTAGGAGAGATGGGATTCGAACCCATGACCTTAGGAACTGGCATGAGAGACATTTAGGTTGTAAATGCAAGTTCGCTGCGCTCTTACCCCTGAGCTACCCCCCCAGACAGATTGTTAGAATGTAGGCCCAGTGTTTCTGTACATATCCTGTCGGAGAACAAGCCGGGAGGGCCAAAAAAGAAGACTGTAGGAGAGATGGGATTCGAACCCATGACCTTAGGAACCGGCATTCTAGGTTACGTTTCGCTGGTTCTGAGGGATGAAACCAAATGCAAGTCCGCTATGCTCTTACCACTGAGCCACCCCCCCAAGGCATGTTGTTGAAAGTAGGGGAGCTGGTTCCTGTACATGTCCCGAGGGAACTGCGTGCAAAGCGTTATTCCGATGACTGGGGGTTGACCACGCAAGGGCCACCGGGCAGCTCCGTCTTTCACATGTGTCTTTTGCCTCGTGAGTTTCGGTTTACCCTCTCCCGTCATCGTCGGGGTTCGGCCCCAACTCGATGCCGGTAGCGGAACCACCACTTGATCTTCTTTGTTGGGCGAGCGAGAAGATACCTAACGACATCCACAGATGGATTTCTTCTTCAATCCCGAGACATAACATATCCGATCCGGAAGCCAGCCCGGAGTCAATTTGACGAATTGATGAATTGACTTTCACCGAGACGGGTCACGTCGGTTGCCGGGCTTGTCATTGCCGGCCGTGATGGGGTGGGCCGGGCCGGTATATCACCGGAATCCACACAACCCCAAAACCACCACCGTCAACCACCGTCGGCGTCAAAACCGTCATCGATGCCGACCCCACCGCCGTGCTTCCTGCAGGTCGGGTCACCGGCCGCCGCAGCACCGCGCCATAGTCCAAGGACGTTCTCCGATCTCCGAGAATGCTCGCGAGTATTCTCGATGACGAACAGCGGCGGCAATTGTGCATACCGTAAAAGTCGTTGGCAGTCGTTGACGTGTGCTAAGAATAGCTCAGTCGGAGTGGTTCCCGATGTCGGTGGCGAAGACAAGAACCGAGGCAACGCGGCCGGTGGATTCAAGGCATAACCTCCGTGCCTCCTCCCACTGTTGTTTGGGGGCCGGGGAAGCTGACGACGACTTGCCGCCGCCCCCTGACGGAAGCCGGTGTCTCGGAGAGCGATGCCATGAGTCCTATCGGTGATACGCACAGGTTAGCTTGTGTGCGTGCCCATCAACATCGCTCTATCTGCCCATCAATTGCATCGACATGCGTGAATCCATCACCTGAACGAGGACGTATGTACGGGGTACTGCTGATGACGCGTGCTTCGAGTTCTGGGTCCACCCATCAGAAGAATGCCTCGCCAAGGCTGATGGCGGGAGACTCGGCTTCTTTGCTTTGAAAATGTGCGTAAATCCAAGAAAAAAGGCGCCCAGCAAGTGCAATTCACGCCATGGACATGCTGATGGATCATGGCGGTGGTATGTGATGGATGTCGTCTCCATAAACTTTGGCGGAGAGACCCCTCCACCCCTCGTCAACAACAAAGCTCCAGTGCCCCTGGCTTGGAGCCTGTCAACCCAGGGGCTGTCCTTGGCCAGCTGACCCGGGCTCTCGGCAACAGGGCGGGGAAAGTCAACATTGAACATTGTGGCGCAGAAATGCGTGCGAGGCCCGGGTGGGTACCCGAGACATGCGCCGGAAACGTTGGCAAACAATGTGGTAATTCCAGCGCATGTTTTCGATTGTCAAGCTCGATAAAAGAGAGCATTCCACTGCCGCGAAAGGGCCGCGATAAGAAACAACCGTCGATTCCCGACCGCCTTGGCGCCCAGCCTCGTCGATTTCCCAGTTTGATGCTTGCAGTTGCAGCAGTCTTCTCCCACCAGCCACCCAAATCGCGCCTCGCGCCGAGTGGAACCCCGGCAGCCACACAGATCAGCCAACCAGCGTCCACAGCGCCGCAGCAACCAGCCCTGCACGCCATCCGCCATCCACATCCACTGGCCGGCGGACCATCCCACCCTGGCCCGTTGCTCCCTGGCAGGGCACGACAGGGCCTTTGCGCCCAGAGCCGGGCCAACCACGCCTGCGACGAAAACGAGCTGCGTCCTGTCGTCCATCCTTTCTCATCGACGAAGTCTTCTTCTTTTCTTCGCCCTCCTCCCTCCCATTTCTTTCTGGTTGGGGTTTCCATCGACCATCTTTTCTTCTCCTTTTTCCTTTGAGTTTTTTTTTCGGTGCCCAGCTTGGTCCTGACTGCACCACCTTCGTCCCTCGGCGCGCGGTATCCTCGACCAAACAAAGGCGAGGCGGGCAAAGTAAACAATCGCCGCCCCTCCATGGTCGCATCTTGACCAGCACGCCGCCCCCCGCCCCAACCCAACCCAACCCACCCCAACGAAGCTCCCCAGCCCGACAACCCGCGACGACAGACATCATGGCGTCCAAAACGAAAATCCCCCTCAACCACACGGCGGGGATATTCTCCGACATGACGGTCGACGGCCCCCAGATTGGAACGCTGGTCGTCGTCGTCGACCGCGCAAAGAACCTCCCCAACCGCAAGACCATTGGCAAGCAGGATCCCTACTGCGCCTGTCGTCTGGGCAAGGAGGCCAAGAAGACGACCACCGACATCCGCGGCGGCCAGACCCCCAAGTGGTGAGTTCCTGGACATGCCGAACGCCTGCCTGCGAAGCTAACCACCCCACCCCGCCTACAGGGACCAGGAGCTCCGGTTCATCGTTCACGACTCCCCAGACTACTACCAGCTCAAGGTGTCCGTCTTTAACGACGACAAGAGGACCGACCTGATTGGCGAGGCCTGGATCGACCTGCGCGACATCATCACTCCGGCTGGCGGCGACAGCGACGAGTGGCACCAGCTCAACTACAAGGGGAAATACGCCGGTGAGGTCCGGATCGAAATCACATTCTACGACATTCGACCCAAGCCCGAGAGGCCTGTAGCCAAGGCCAAGCCCACGGTCATGACCGACCCGGACCCCGTTGCCCCGCCTCCAGCCGTCACCAGCACGTCCGGCCCCCGGAGCATGCCGAAGCGTCGCCCGTTGCCATCCGATCCCGTCACGGGCAAGGCCCCACCACCACAACCACAGCTGCCCCAGCCAGCCCCAGAGGCCATCGAAGCGCCCCCTCGACCGCAGCCCAGCCCGCTGCCGACATCCTACCAACCGGCCCATTCGACGCAGTCGCTCCCCGACCACCACAGCCCATCGCCGGGAGCCGCAGCAGGTCGGTACCAAGAGCCATTGGACCCCTATGCGGCCCATTCTCCCAATGGAGACTATGGCGCCCCCAATCGATATGTGGAGGCGGCCCCTCAGCAGCAGCAGTATAGACCGTCTGACCGGCCCGATCAGTACATGGGACATGCTGAGAACTTTGATCGATACGGATCCAGATCGCAAGACTCGTTTGACCGCCCCCAGTTTGACCAACCTACGGCGCATCGAGCGCGATCGTTTGACGAGGACAGACCCCCGCCGCCGCCAGTTCACAGGAGCGGAACCGGCAGCAACCCTTCGATGAATGCGTCGTTCCAGAGCGGCGGTTCGGCCGTCATGCGACAGGACGTGCTGCGCAACGAAGCGCTTCGCCAATCCGGAAACACAGCAGCGTATCCAGGACGACCACAGTACAAGGCCTCTGTTTCCGGTAGCTCCCAATATTCCGGCCAGGAGCAGGGCCTGCCGCCACGGCACTTTTCGTACGACCCCAACTTTGACCCGTCGTACCGGGCGCCCATGCAAGCCACGGTCGAGGATGTGCCAGAGTCGCCAGACTCGGTCCAAGGCTCCTACAACAGAAGGAGGTCGTTCGCTCCGCAAGCTCAGCAACAGATGCAGCTCGAGCCCGAGTACGACATGCGTACGAGCCCCGCACCGCTGAATATTGGACGAGGTGCGCCTGCGGGCAGCCGATACGCTGATGCGGCCCCGGAGCAACGCTATTCGGGTGGCCCCGCAGTCCCGGAGCGATATAGCAACCCCCCGGTTCCAGAGCAGCACTATGGTGGTGGTCCCGCGGCACCGCCCCAGCACTACCGCCACGACTCGAATGGGTACACACCCTCGCCCCCAGCGCAGTCCCCTAGGGAGGTTTCCGGACAGAGGCCGTATGGGCGAAACTCGGAGACGTCTCTGGTGTCCTACCCCTCGCAGTCAGATGAAAGGGCTTTGGTTCGGCGAGGCGACTTGGATGGCCCTCATGACGACTACCCGCCGCCTGTTCCTGCGTCTCTGATCCCAGGCATAGGCCCCAAAGTTGCGCAGCAGGTCTCGGAGCGGGCCCATCAGCGGAGAAATACCCAGCCGTCCGTGATGGATGCGCATACCCCTCCGAGGGGTCGCACCATGAGCGAGATACCGCCGATGTACGAGCAGGCCCGGTCGCCATCGTACAACGCCCCGTCGTACAACGCCCCATCGCCATCCTACAACGCCCCATCCCCGTCATACAATTCCCAGCCGCCGCCGTCGCAAAGCCGGGGACAGATCATGTACAACGAGGGGCCGTCGAGTTCTAGCGTCAACGCCGTGACCCAGTATCAAGGCTACGCGCAGAATCCACCGCGCGATCGAAGCCCGAACCCGAGGACGAGCCCGAACCCCAGGACGAGCCCGAACCCGCAGCACACGATCCGACGCAAGTCTGTCAGCCCAGCTCCCGCTCCCGCTCCGACGGACGAACCCCGCAGGCTGTCGGGCATCCCCTTTGGTCCGGATTCCTACGATTCCTTCAACCCTCGGCTGAGCACATCTGCTCTCCGAGACCCCGCACCGGGCGGCCTCGACTTCAACGCCGCCACCAAAAAGTACATTGCGCCCGACGGTCGCGAGGTGGACCCCTCCGACCATCTCCCCGAAGAGTCCTGGGCCCCCGAGCCGGAGCCCCGAAAGGGGAACGTCCCTGCTTCCTCCCCCGGCGGTGGCCAAGACCTCTCCGGCAGTGGCCGACGCCGTCCCCAATCCATGCTCCCATCCGGCGGCGTGACCTTCTCCGGCAGCCCCTACGCCGACCCCGTCTCCCCCTCGCCGCCCGTCACCAAGGGCCGGACCCGCCTCCAGAAGAAGCAAAATCGGACGTCGGTCGCCGTCACCCCCGTGACAAACGGACACGCGTACTCCCGCAGCGGTGGCGGTGGTGACATGAGCCCGCTCGCTCCCCTCCCGCCGCACCAGGACAACTTTACGCCCCCGCGGCACCTCACGCGCGCGTCGACGTTTGACACGGCCGGGCCATCGGAGAATTCACCGCATTATGGAGGAGGCGGCGGGGGCTACGGCGGACGACCAGCGCTGCCGCCGATCCCG